AAAGGATATTTGTCATATCTCCCAGCATCCCCCAAGAGTGAGCAAAAAGTGGAAGTGGAGGTCAAGTCAATCTTGAGTTTGGCTTTGGTTTTTATTTTTCTTTTAATATTATATATATATATATATATATATATATATATATATTTGTGTTTTACCTGCTTGTATGTCTGAGTACCACATATATGCCTGGAGTCCTTGGAGGCCAGAAGAGGGAGTCCAATACTTTGGAACTGGAGTTACAGATGGTTATGAACTTTTAAGTGGGCACAGGAGACTGAACCCAGGTTCTCTGCAAGAATAGGAATTCTCTTAACTGCTGAGCCATCTCTGTTCTCTCCCAGTCTCATGTAGCCCGGGCTGGCCTTGAACTTCTTATGTAGACAAGGATGGCCTTGATTTCTGATCCTCCTGCCTTCATTTCTCATGCTGGGATTACAGACATCCACCATCCTATCTAGATTATGTGATGCTGGGGGCAGACCTAGTGTAAGCCAGGCACACACTCCCATCTGAGCTATAGCCCCGGTACTTGGTCTTAGGTTTGAATCTTGGCTGGATCTCTCTAGTTCATTAACTGAGCCCTGACTCCCTCTCTCTAAAGACTATGGTTTTCTGTGCTGGCTGGGAGAACACACCAAAACCACACAGAATCTGCCACTGGGCACTGGTTGCTGCTCTCATGACATTTCTGCTTAATGTTTAAGGAATTGACTCAGTGACTGCACTGAGAATGTCCATACTAAATCCAGCTCAGTCACCTTTTTGCTGGAGCCTGGGGCCCTGAATGGGTAGTGGAAGCATACAGATGTCCCAGACACAGAGACAAGTCCTACCTAGTAAATTACTCCACCCAGTGGGATAATTGAACTCGGACCACCTTGCCTTCCATCTGAGTACCCTTGACAGCCTCTTGCCTCCCCATAGCCAGGCTATGTGGTTGCTACCCTCAGCCACACCATGCTATAGCCACCGACCTTTTGAAAATGTCATATGCAAGTCACTCTGTGCCTAGTTCTGGAGGTCACTCTCCATGTATCTACTTTCTGGGTTTACATTTCAGGGCACTGGCCACTCACCTCCCAGGCCTCTGCCCTGCCCTGCTCTACATTCAGACAAATGGCTATAGTTTTCTGAATGAGCCAACCAGCCTTCTATCTCTTTGCCTTTTTATGAGCCATTCACCTTTCTTGAAGATTCTGTCCCCTTATCTGGTTTCCCCACCTTTTTTTTGAAGAAAATTTATTTTATTTTCTCGTGTGTGTGTGTGTGTGTGTGTGTGTGTGTGTGTGTGTGTGTGTGTGTGGTGTTGTGCACATAAGTGCAGGTGCTCTCAGAGTCCAGTAGAGGGCATTGGACTACCAAAAGCTGGAGTTACAGGTGATTTTGAGCTGCCTAAAGTGGGTTCAGGAAACTAAACTCAGGTCTTCTGCAAGAAAAGAAAGCATTTGTTTGATTGTTTTTTGGTTTTTTGAGACAGGGTTTCTCTGTATTGTTTTGGAGCCTGTCCTGGAACTTGCTCTGTAGACCAGGCTGGCCTCGAACTCACAGAGATCTGCCCACCTCTGCCTCCCAAGTGTTGGGATTAAAGGCATGTGCCACCAACGCCCGGCTGAGAAAGCATTCTTAACTGTTGAACACTTCTGGAACCTCATCTGATTCTTAAAGCCATCTTGGAGCAGGGACATACACTCCAGTGTTATGCTTACCCTACCTAGCTGGATTAGGTACTCCTTCTTTTTCACCTAGTTCCAAGCACAATGTGTTCACTGTCTGCTCTTTACACTCTCCTGGGGAGCCCATTCTGACTAGCTGGGTGCCCCTATGGGCCATTCAAGGGCTCTGCATCCTTATCTTCTGGAGTGCATGCTGAGAGCATCCTTGTAGATCTTAGGAAGTTAGGGACCACTATGATGGACAGTAACAGCTACTAATAACCCACTACCTGGCCTAGGCCCACAGATACCAAGATCTAAACAAAGGTTTGCATGAACCTAATCCCACCCCTAAAAAGACTGGAGGGGTTTTGACCATCACCATCTTCCACATATTTATATCAGGGATGAGGGCTAAGGGCTTTCCCTTATTGCTCAATGGTTTCTACAAACCTGTTGAAGTTTGACACTTGGAATGAAATGCCAGTAAATTGTGGGGAGGCAATGAATTTCCAGTTTCCAACCTAACAGTGTCTCCTCTGGGACACAGAGAACAGTTTTGTCCATCTCCTGCACAGACAGAATATGAGTTTTTTAGAAGATATGTAGCTCAGGCTGGCCTCTTACTTGTGGTCCAGCCTCAACTTCCTAAGTGATGGGCTTACAAACTTGTGCTATCACAAGTGGGTAAGTGTTTTTATTTAGTGAGGGAGGCAGGCTGAGACCAGTCTTCCCCCTTCCCCAGCCCCCGACTACTATTCTTAGGAGGGGTATGTGTGACTAGTACCATCTCAAGGATTCTCTTTTCTTTTCTCTTTTCTTTTCTTTCCTTCCTTCCTTTCTTTTTTTTCTTTTGGAGACAGGGTTTCTTTGTGTAGCTTTGTAGACCAGGCTTGCCTTGAACTCACAGAGATCTGCCTGCCTCTGCCTCCCGAGTGTTGTTATTAAAGGCATGCACCACCACTGCCAGGCTCCATCTCAAGGATTCTAAGTACCTTTTTTTTTTTTTTTTTGAGACAGGGTTTCTCCGTGTAACAGCCCTAGCTGTCCTGGAACTAGCTCTGTAGAACTGGCTGGCCTTGAATTCATAGAGATCTGCCTGCCTCTGCCTTCTGGGATCAAAGGTGTTCGTTACCACTGTCCTGCAGATTCTAAGGACTCTTTTGGGCATTCAACATAGGCCAAACACACCAAAACTTCACTTAATAACGAGAAGGTGGAGAGCTACGGTGTGTGTGTGTGTGTGTGTGTGTGTGTGTGTGTGTGTGCATGTATACTGTTTTTGTGCATATTCATGAGTGAATGCAGGCATGTGCATGCCACACTGGTGTAGAGGTCAGAGGACAATCTTGTGTGTTAGTCATTGCTTTCTACCTTGTTTGAGACAGGGTCTTTCTTGTTTTGTCACTATGTAGGCCGGGCTAGCTGGCCCTTCAACTTCTGGGGATTTTCTGCTCCCATTTTGCAGTAGCAGCACTAGGAATATATAGACACATGAGCTAGTGTTTGTCAATTCTGGGGATTTGAACTCAGGTTTTCATTCTTGTGCAACAAGCAATTTTACTATCTCCCCAGCCCAGCTGCAGGGGTTAGAAGTGTGATGTGTAGGAGATTGGAGATGAGGAAGTCCTGAGGAACAGCTTTGGTATTCCTTGCCAGCAATGACAGAAGGGGACATGTTTTGTTTCCGAGCTGTCATACTGGTTCATTTGATGTGTTTCTCTCCTAGGCAGGGGGCGGAGGGGGGGGGACCGAAGACCAGAGCTGTCCAGGTTCTGTGTGAGACTCTGGAGCTGCTTGAGTTGTGGGTGGAACACAGGGTGTTTGGATCACTTTGGAGGAGCTTTGTTACCTGAGATCCTAGGAGGGTCTTGCATTCATGATGCTGAGGATTTGTGCTGTCTCCCAGTAAGAACCCCAAAGCAAAGCCCAGAAGGCATCAAAGACTAGAGGAGAGGACTTCAGTGGGGACTATTCTCAAATGAGGGAGGGGACATTACCTTTTCAAAGTAATAAAAGGTTTTATTTTTATTTTTACTTTTTTAGATACATACTGTAGGTTGGCCTTGAACTCACAGCCAAAGATGACCTTGAACTCAAATTCTCTTGCCTCCACTTCCCTATTGCTGGGATTACAGGTACATGGCACCTTGTGGGTTTATGTAGTGCTCAGAATCCAGTCTAGGATTTTATGCATGCTAGGCAAACACTCTACTGACAACTGAGATAACCCCTCCTGTACTTTTTTGGAGACAGGATCTGCTGTCTTGAGTCGTTTGAAATTCACTATGTAGCTCAAACTGGCCTTAAGCTCACAGCAATCCTCCTGCCTCAGTCCCGAGTGTTGGGGTTGTAATGGTAAGCCACCATGCATTGCTATGTGTGTGTGTGTGTGGCGGGGATGGGGGGGCAATTTCAATTCTAAGAAATTGTCCTACGGCCCAATCTGGCCATTCTTGGGGTAGCAGTTTGAATTGGGGAGGCGATATCAGGGATGCAGCCGGCAGCACCCCAGCTTTCAGTCCGGTCTTGGACTGGGAAGGGAAGGGGAAGCACTGGTCTGCATCCTCTTGGTCATGGGGCAGACTTTATTTCCCAAGCCCAGCCCAGGATGGCGGGGTGGCTAGGGGCTCAGGGCTCCGCTGTGCACCCTTGGGGGCGCGGCCCGCGTGACGTCCCCATTCACACTGGCCACATTCCGGGGCGCGGCGCGGGGACTG